AACCTCCCAACGATCCTGTATTAGCTGAAACCGACGGAGACGAACAACTACCTGCTTCGCCTGAACATCCTTCAGACGAACAAAGTCCTAAAGTTTAGCTTTGATAAAGGGACTACCATTCCAACTAAGTCAGAGTATTCCTGTGTCATGGTCGTTAACTTGTTCTCAGAGATCATCATTGCTGGAATGTGGATGGTTTTTGGGTCCAAAAGCTGAGATATTTTTTGAGAATATGATGGCTGAAATGCAGCCTTCAACAGCTGAGTTTGCGACTCAGTTCATTACACGTTGACTTGTATTCCCATGGTTTGTACTTTGTACAAAGATAGTACAAATTCATTATTTTGAAGGCCTTGTTTGATAGCTAGAAAACTTTTTTGCGTTTAAATGGAGCCAAAAAACTGTTAGATAGGAGTATGTTCATATTTTGAACAACTGTGTGTTGAATTGACCACAAAAACCAATCTACAAAGCTATTTTGTTGCATAGATTGCGATTTCTTTTACTTATAATTTCCATGCATTGGTAAGTGCTAAAAACGGTACTATTTCCAGCTCTTATTTTATTATAAATGAACTATTAATTGCATTGAATTATATAACAATAATGAATATGATGGGATTAAAATTAATAATTAATGGTTACCCTAAAAAATAGAGACTCTAATGATTCTACTTCTAGTTAATTGTTGTCAATAATGGAAGCTTCTTTTGTTAGAGAATCAACCATGGAAGTTTCTTTTGTTAACTTCCATTGTTAGAGAAGAGATGAAGAATCACATTCTTTAATTGGGTGGGAGGATAATATGTGTGAAATGAATGAAATGATGTTTCTATTGTGCTATTTATATATTCTTCTGAGCCAAGGTGATAAGGTGATAAGGAGAAAGAGAAAGAGAAAGTAAATAATAGATCTCATAATTAACTCGACTAGAAATTAGACCATTCAACAAAAATAAATTGAGAATTATTTATCCATGAAAAAGATCGAAAAACTTCTCTATAGTCTACAAATATCTGTGCTCTAAAAAGGAAGGTAAATGGTAAGATTAAATTTAATTATATGTTATATTAAAAAGAATTATTGCATTTTTCTCGAAAAACAAAAAAGTGGTATGGGATATGTTTATATATATATATATATATGAGGAAGGGGTGGGAAAGGAGGGAGCACTTTAGGTATGGGAAAAAAGGGGGACACAGGTGACGTTATATGGGCTTCCCTTACCCAAATGGGGAATAGTTTTGGTGTTCGGTGAAAGGTTGTTCTGCACCCGAAGGGGATATGTCTAAGGACACCTTGCCCTACACACTTAAAAGGGGATATGTCTAAGGACACCTTGCCCTACACACTTAAATTAAAAGGGGATATGTCTAAGGACACCTTGCCCTACCAACTTGGGGTCACATCATGAAACAACCCTTCCCTTACCCAAAAGGGATATATACATCAAAGGACACCCTGCCCTACCCACTTGGGGTCACATCATGTCAGCACTTGCCACTAATGGCAACCCCCTCTCTTAGCGTCAATTATTTGTGTCGGATCTAGATCAGAAAAAGGAAACAACATTTTTTTTTTTTATAAATAAGCGTGTTTAATAGACATGTTTTAAAATGGTTAAGTTGGAAGATGTGAGTGATTAGTTAAGTGAAAGTGAAAATGGTATGTGATAGCTGAGAGAGAAGAGAAGAGAAGAGAAAAGAAAAGAAAAGGGGGAAGTGACAAATGGAAGGGATAGGAGTGAAACAATCCCCCACCAATGTAAAAAGGGAAGCCCGAATGATAAGAAAAAGATGGGATAAGGTTATATAGTTTTAGTGGTGGGGGATTTTCCACTGTTGTTCCCCTTCTCCATGCTTCTTCTCAAGTTGCCCACCATTCCCTCCCCCTCAACCCCCATCCACCCCCTTCATTTAACCCTTTCCAGATTCCTTCCAAACAAAACAACTCTTTCATATTCCGACCACGTGTTATTTTAACATGTTCTGTTCCCACTCGCACACGGATCTAAATACGTTCAACTTTTTAAGCACTTCTCAATAATCATATCATTAGAATCACTATCCTTTTAAGTCCATTCATATATACTATTCCGCTTGAGATCACCCTACTAAAGGTTAAAATCACAAAATCAATTCCCCCTACTCAAAATGTGCGAATATCTTCTACGCAAATCAATCATACAACACGAAATATTGAATCGATACGTCTACAAAAGTAAAAGTTAAAGCTAAAGACATAATATCACGTCGTAATCGAAATGCACGAATATCGTTCACACAATGAAACAGAATGAAATACGGAACCGATAGGTGTAGAAAAGCAAGGGTTATAATGAACGGAGAAAAAGTGAAAGAGACTAAAACGCGAAAAGAAATACATAAAGATAAAAGAATTTTGCATTGAAGTTGAATTGAAATGGGTTGAAAGTTTAGAAATGAAGGAGGAAATAGGTAGAAAAGGCATCAGAATATGATGATTTAAGAAGTGGGTGTTGAACACTTTATTGAATGAAATGTAAAGGGTGTTAGGGCTGCAAATGGAGGACCCCAAAGGCATGCCCTTTGCTATAAATTCAGGCATTGTTGATCAAGAACCATCCATACAAATTCAACCATCTTCTTCTTCTCTTTCTCTCTCCGTCTCTGTCTCTAGGGGCTTTGTCTTGATATCATATTTGTGTTGGTGTGCGTGTGTGTGATTGGTAAGGGGAGAAGGTAAAAATGTTGACAGAAGATAGAGAGCACAGATGATGAAGTGCATATCCCTTGCATCTCACTCCTTTGTGCTCTCTACACTTCTGTCATCACCTTCTCATCCCCTTTCCTTGTAATTTTCTTTTGGGTATTCAAGAACCATGATTGTCTTTTCTTTTCCTAACCATTTATTCGATGTTGCATGAAACATGATCTTAGTCGAGCATAAGAAGAGAAGGATAGTATGTAATTGCTTGGTTTCGATACCTTATATTCAGTTTGTTACTACTTACTAATGGCTGATGTTTTTCTTATATTCAGTTTGTTACTACTTACTAATGGCACTAATTTAATCACTTAGCTTGTGATGGCTATTTGACTGTGAGATCTCACATTTCTTTCTCACATTTATTTCTCACATTTCTTATAAAAAGAGGGAAGGGAAGGGAAGGGACATTTCTTATAAAAAGAGGGAAGGGAAGGGAAGGGACATTTCTTATAAAAAGGATCATATATCTCCTATCCCATGAATAACATGCATATCTGCCACCCACCAAATTTTACTTTTAGTGGCTCTCATTTAAAAAATAAAAAATAAATAAATCAAAATTTAATTTTATGTAATTCAGTAATTTTATACAATAAAGAATGAAAAGAAAGGTTACCGATCGGATGTTGAGGGGAAATGCGGCGAGAGATCCGCCGGAGATTATTCCTTATCCCGTCGAACAGGTCATTGTATTTTCCTATCACACTCGTCGGACACTGGGCATTCTCCCGCTACTTGACAAAGGCGGCGGAGACAGAGATGGTGGCGGCAGTGATGCAGTGGGGTTTAGGAGGACGGCGAGGGGGTGAATGAAAGAGAGGTTGGAAATGAAGTTGTTCTTGAATCCGGCATGCCCACCGTTCCTTGCAGTCTGAGAGCACAGTTCAGATTTTGAAGCGCAGTGGGTGTTAGATAAACCCTAACCCCCAAGAATCGCCATGTGTTTTTATAGCTATCTGTATACATATCTGAAGTTTGTTAAGGGGTTGGCGTGGCGTTGGTTTGCTTATTTGTCACAACTTGGATGCCCCTCATGTGTTGGCTGCATATTTGATGTATATAAATCATCACCCAACTTCCCTTAAAAAAATTGTCTACAGATTTTTGTTTATTAGCTACATCCCACTCGTACTTATGTGTGTTTACTTAATAACAAAGGAAATAAATAAATATAATAATTATTGAAAATATAGTTGAAGATTGGAGTTATTAGGATATTTTAGTTTTTTTTTCGTAAAAATTATATTAGAAACCGGAATTACACTTCAAATTTTATTATAATGTATATTTTTTTTTAAAAGAAAAGGAAGAATTTTCTATCGGTGGTATGAATCTCAGCTACCAATTCTGATTTCAGAGAAAAAAAATTCTAGAATGAAGAATGAAATCGAAACTAAATACATCACCAATAAATTAGACTAATACGAGGATTTAAATCTTGTTTTTTTATTATTAATTTTTAAAAATTAAGATTATAAATATTAGCATTAAAATATTTACCAAAATGCTAATGTTGTTACGGTATTTTTCCATAATTTTAAAACATTTTAAAATTAGATTTGGTATGTTCCAACCGAGTTAAAGTCGAGGTGACGTAGTTGGGATAAGAAATGTGTGAAGAAAGATTTGAGTAATCCAAATCATACCGACGGCGACCGCATTTCTCTCAAATTTTCGTCTTCTCCTTCTTATTATGAAATCCGACTCCAATTCGCCATGGAAGTGGAACACAGCAATCACGAACAACTTCCACACCAAGGCTGACCACCACCATTTCTCTCTCCCCAACATTTTCGACGCCAATCGCCGGAACGCAAAGCAACCGCCACCCCTAGTCTTGGACGCCGGCGGAGGAGCTGGAGTTGGCTGCGGCGTCGGGCTCGGCTTTGGTCTTGTCGGCGGGATTGGCCATGGCGGCGCCTCTCCCTGGAATCACCTTCACCTCGTTTTCGGCCTCGGTCTCGGCTGTGGCGTTGGCCTAGGGCTTGGAATTGGCAAAGGGATTGGCTATGGCTTCTCCTTCGACTCTCTCGATTCTTATTTCTCCGATCACAAACCGAACCCTAGACAGAAGCCTCCTCTGATTCAGATTTGAAATCTCTTTCTTACGCATTTCATTACCTTGTTTTTACACATTGTTCCCAGTTTTTCCTCGAGAAATTTGAAGGCTATTTAGAATGTTCGAAGATTTTTTTGTTTAAATATTCTTGTTCTTGTAGATTCAATTTGGTTGTGTAGATCAGATCTGATTCTTGAAAAGAAACAAAGATAGATTTGTTTGTAGAATCCCAAAATGTGATGTTTACACGGTAACAACGATCCATGTCATAAAATGAAACCAAAGAAAAACCTGCTGTACAAGAACCCCATCATATAATTAAAGCCTATAAACCACACACATACACATACAAGCAATGCTGTGCCATGGACTGTGTAGCAAAGCAATTTAAAGCCTCCAAAGCAACGTAGAAAGGCAACCACTTATTTCCCCTCAGTTGTAGTTTCCTGCATTGTGGAACGAGCATTGGCATCAATGGACAGTCCTAGAAATCTATCGTTGTTTCGGTCGTTCACCTCCTGTCTTTCGACGTCCTGTTCATTCTGCACAACATTCATGCCATTCGTCGGTGGGGGAGGATTGGCAAGCGTCTCCAACACTCTAAAGTATGCATACGGTCCCCAACCTACAAGCCAGAATCGAAGGAAAACACCCAATGGTTTTTTATGAAAAATGAGCGAGCGAGCGAGAAGCAACGGCAACACGCCTAGTTGGTTGTTCGGTAGATACAGAATGAGTGACGGTTTTGGGGTCAAAACTATACCTTGAGAATGGTATGGAGGAGGAAAAAACTGCAAGTAGCAGAAGGTAGATACTACAAGCCCTGCAAAAGTAGAGCTCTGTATGATCATTTATTGTTATGTACAAGTTGCAAAAACGATGAGGACGATAAAGGAAAATGCACATACCGAGCAGACCTCCAGCAAACACATCCTGCCAATGGTGCCAGTAATCGTCCACTCGAGAAACGCCAACGAGAGATGCAAAAAGCAGGGGAAGAAAAACAATGCAGAGTTTTGCAATGTGACCTCGTTGGTCGAATACTTGTATCTTTCCTGATAAGTACAACGACAGGAAACCAAGACCAGCAAAAGACCCTGCATCAGGTCAAAAGTTCAACAAGAGAATAAAGGTTAAATACCATATCCCAATATATCCCGATATCAAAATCACATTACTATTGTATCTTGCTAGAGATGTGTGAGATCCCACATTGGTTGGGAAAAACGGAGCATTCTTTATAAGGGCGTAGAAACCTATCCCTAGCAGAGGCATTTTAAAAACCTTGAAGGGAAGCCTGGAAGGAAAAACCCAAAGAGAACAATATCTGCTAGCGGTGGGCTTAGGTCGTTACAAATGGTATCAGAGCTAGACACCAGGTGATGTGTCATCGAAGAGGCTGAGCCCTGAAGGGGGTGGACACGAAACGGTGTGCCACCAAGGACGCTAGACTCCGAAGAGAGTGGATTGGGGGGTCCCACAGCGATAAGGAACAAAGGAACAAGTGCCACTTGGAAAGAAGGGAAAGAGTAACATTTTGTCACTTACATGAAGTATGGCCACTTGGAAAGCTCTTATGCCCTTCCTTGATAACATTCACATCACCATGACATATAACATTGCCTAATTGATCATACACCTGAGAAATAAGAATTCAATCAGTACATCAAGCCAAGCAAGTATGTATCAAAACAGACGCCAAACGCCAAACCCCGCTTCGAAGCAACACACATCTTTCCCATCAGGAAAGCAACGCCAAAAGAAGTTTGGTCGAGGTCGTCCCACTGCATTTTTTATCGCATCAGTAATGACCGCTGTTATTAAAACAGAGTAAAAGAGACCTGCAGGGTATTCCAGTATACATCAGCTAGCTGCAGAACAGTATCACCAATGGAAAATGGATATCTCATGCTAAAGTATCTCACCAAGTATGGCATGATGAAGATCGTAGATATCTCTTCTACGCCAATACACGAACAGAAAAACGGCTATTGGCAACAGCATTGCATACAACTAATCATCCACGCACCACAAACAAAAACAAACAAATGCATTCACATCAGTTTCCCTTCCATCCTATATCTAAAAGTTTTCATAGACAACACAGACACGAGCAAACCTACAGGCACGGCCCAGACAGGAACAGTATTATCTTTGAAGGGATATTTGAGATCACTCATCATGTCCTTCCCGACATAGCGATAAAACGGATGGGTTAAATATAGGATAACTTCAATCATCACAAGCAGTAAGAATATAAGCCAATCATGCATGTGTATCCTCGCAATGGCGACTCCATGGGACCTTAAAGTGTGCGAACAAAGCTGCCCTTCCCTCATTCCGCTGTTCTGCACGAGCATAAAAACCGAACCAAGAAAAGGAAAAACATCAGGCTCCATCTTCACCTCCATTGCATTGTAAAACATGTTTACAGGGAAAATGAATCATGAGAAAATACCAAGATTCCCTTTTTTCAGCGGTACTAATTGTACCAAGAACAAATACATTGGAAAATAATAGAGATTACTCCTAGCCTCTCAACAATGGTTAAGACAATCAAAAGAGGTTGTATTGTACAGTCCATCCTATGGTAATTCAAAGAAATCCACATGCACACACATGTACTGTGAGGGCCCATATCGATTGGAGAGGGGAATAAGCATTCCTTATGAGGGTATAAAAACCTTTTCCTAGTGGACGTGTTTTAAAACCTCGAGGGGAAGCCCCGGAGAGAAAGCTCAAAGAGAACAATTTCTACTAGTGGTGGGCTTGGACGGTTACAAATAGTATCAAAGCCAAACACCGAATGGTGTGCCAACAAGGACGCTGGCCCCCAAGGGAGTGGATTGTGAGGTCCTACATCGGTTGGAGAGGGGAACGAAGCTTTCCTTATAAGGGTGTGGAAAACTCTCCCGTAGCATAAGTGGGTGTGTGCCCACCCTCGGATATCTTATCACGATCCGAACGAATCTCAAAGGATATCAATGGGGTTTTCTCTAGGAATTCCTTTTGATTCTGTTGATTATAGTGATCTATCAGTGGGAAATTAATGGGCGGATAGCAATCGCTAGTTTTGGTGAAAAGCTGTGGGCTTGTTTGTGATACAACCAAAATAACCCCAACAAGACCTTCAGGAGAAGAGTATTGTTAAGAACTCCAACTGAAAGCTATATTGCAAGAGTCCCTAAGAAGAGATCTTAAAAAGAACCTACTACCGTTGACTCGACGTTTAATCACGAGGCCTCTTCCGAAAGAATTATAGTTGTTTGTTCGTGAAGTCGCCAAGAACAAAGAAAAGGTAAACCACAAAGGCTTCCATTCTAAATATAAGCCTCAGCAGCCCCTAGCATTCTTACACACATTTATTCCAACAGTCAGTGGCTCTGCTTCTGAACAATTCAAGAAAATAGGAAGACATCATTTCCCAATCTAATCAATCGGAGAACTCACGAAATGAAAAGCGTTGCAGTTTTCATAGATCCATAACCCGTCTCTACAAACAGAAACAAGACACAGATTCCAAATTAACGGTAACCGACAGGCCAACCATTCATTTCGCAACTGGGAAACCTGATTACAAGAAACCCACTAAAACAAGAAAGAGATCCAACAACATTCCTCGAAGGCATTATATGAAGGAAAATGAAAAGCAGAGGAAAATCCGAAACTAAAGGGCTCGTTACAGGATCTCACAAAGCAAAGCAAAGCAAAGCAAAAATCTGAACATTCTATACCATGAGAAGAAGCCTCCCTCCTTATCAGAATCGAAGGCTTCAAAATCCGCAAGGGAAGAGGAAGGAAGAAAACAGCCGGTGGTCCCTCGAAAGACGACAATCGGGTGAAAAGTAAACGTGGAATTGAATGTGCGTGAAGATTCGAAAAGAAAAAAGAGAAACCCAGAAAGGGTCGAATGGAAATGTAGTAGAAAAAAGTCGGATGAAATTTGTGAAGCTTTAGACGGAAGGGTTGGATTTGGTGAGAGAGGAGATATTTTGTCGGCCTTCCTGAGGCCTCCCTCCTCTCACAGACTAATACCAATTACCCAAAAAGCTTCTTCCAATTGATGGGACGTCCACCATTCCCACAATTATTATAGAGACTCACCCGACGTGCCCAACGACAATTATTAATTTATTATAGAACGTTTATGGACTTCCTCTTTTTTTCTCTTTTTGGTATTACGGTTGAAAATTATATTTTCTTTTAACCTCATTTTTTAAATTCAAATGGCTATTAACTGGGAATTAAATTAAAACCTTAAAACTTTTAATTATATATTTAATAGCTCTAGGAATGTTTTTAAAAATGTCAAATATGTCCAAATATAAATTTAAAAATCTTAGAATTAATACAAAATTAAATTGTAAAATGAGAATATAAAAATAAGTAATAGGGTATTTTGTTTAAAGAAAAACAAAACCGACAAAACCAAACACAATAATGGAGACATTCAAGCCAGACAACTAACCACCCTTCCAGTATATGCAATTAAATTGTCGAAAGGATGGCTTACCAAAGGCGCCTCCTTTTTGTCTCCAAACTTTCCATTTTGACCCATAAATTTTTAAAGTAACTTTTACTTTTCATTTTTCCCGATAGCCTCGTACCAATAAAGATGTATCGGTAAATCCCTTATCATTCCCTTATCAAGGTAGGACTCCCTCCCAACCATTCTCTGACATCTTTGAGATAGCTACGAAAAAAACATATATAGATTGACGAAAGAAAGAAACAGAAGATAGGCATAGCAGAAAAGGAGAAGAGTAACAACAACAAACATTCAGTCTTTACACCTATAAAACAAGCTCATCAGGAAGGCAACCAACCATAGAACAAAAGAAAAGAAAAGAAAGAACAATTCTCACAAAGCTAAGCTGGGTGATCCAATGTTTTACTCACTCTGCTAGCTGACTTCCAAGTTATTGCTTGATTTTTATCAGCTGCAGCTGAGCCATCGCATCTGACAGAAGGTTGGTAGAGCCTTTAGTCTTAGTTTGCGACTGAGAAGGAGGAACCAGGGGTGGCGGGCCAGGCTGAGATTTGTATATCAGGGTCCTTGCAGGATCATCCTCATTGCATTCATGTGAACCCTCCTCAACAGATGCATCAGCTGCACCATAATTACCAATGCTTACTGCCTGCTCTTGAGCTTCATCAGCAGCTTCAAGAGCAATCGGATTTGCTCCGAAATTCGGTGCCGAACTCCCGGTTGCAGTATCGTGGAAGCCCCAGTGCATAGGTAGATTGGAAGGGGGTGGAACCTGTGTCTGCCCAACAGGCAAGAAGTACACAGGATACATATGGTGGTTCGGCATGGGCTGGTAATGCACAAACTGAGGCTGCTGGACTGGATAGTAAGAAGGCATTGGATACATGGCAGGAAGGCAGCTCTCCATAGGCGTGCCTGCTTGAACAAACTGCCATGGCTGCTGCTGAAAAGGGTTCAGTTGGGAAGCTAGTGCATGCCCTGAAAAGGCATTCTCAACTGAACAACAGGAGTTGGTAGGGGCAATCTCGCTGTAAAGATTACAAATTCTTATGCCTATTAGAAGACTGAAGTATCAGAGCTTAAGAAACACAAGGATAATGTGATCTTGAAACTGATCTGTGTGATTTTTTGTGGAAATTAAGGTTTAGATTCCTAACCTAACCCTTTTTTTTTTTTTTTTTTTGTGGAAATCTATGATAATCCAGGGCAGGGGTATGAACAAACTACCCAAAACAGAAAAATTAGAGCTGGAAAACATATCCTTCCTTTCTTTCTTTCCCATCTTGAGGGAGCAATGAAAATTAAAACAAGCTAAAACGAAAGTTTTAAGAAGGTACCTCACGAGGGTTGCGGCGGAATCGGAAGTCGTGTGCTGCTTAGCAGCATTATCGGGCAAGCTGAGTCCAAAATCCTCACTCTGGAGTTTAATGGGAGGAGACACATTAGCCGAAGAGGTCGAAGAAGAGGATGATCCAAAAGAAGAATTGGTCTCCAAGATCATGGATTCCGGCAATGAAACACACCCATTACCCAAATCTGTAATACCCTTAGCTTCATTCTCTCCAATCACCCCCTCCGCATCAAAACCCACCAAGCAATCCTGCCCCTTTTGCAAAATCTTCGCACCCTTAAGCGCATCGACGAACCAGGCCTCAGTCTTGGGATGATGAATAACATTACGGGCCTTCTCGGGCTCGGGGAAAAAGACGAAGAGCCTAATGCGAGAGGAGGTGGAGGAGGTGAGGCGGAGGTGCTCGCAGAGCATGAAGTGAAGGTCGTCATCGGAGGAGAGGGAGATGAGAGAGTCAAGGGCAGAGTGAGGGAGCTGATACTTCAGGGAAAAGGGAGGTTTAATTGGGAGGATTGTGAGAAGATGAGAAATGAAGGCGGAAAGAGTGTTGACGGCGGTTATGTCGACGGAGATTATGCGTGTTTCGCCGCCTAAATAGGAGAGAGCCTTTGTGCGCGGGCGCGGGGTTATGTGGCCGCCGTAGCTGCACATCAAACGAAGCTTGGAGGTGGCGGCGATGGTGGTAGATTGTGGCGGTGGTGGGTCCATTTGGGTTTCTGAGATCGGGGGGAATTGCGCGTTGGCCAGAGTAGAGGGAGTGTACGGGAAGATACTCAAACAGGGGACCCAAATGAAAGCAGCCTTCGCTTTGGATTTTTGCTTTATTTTACCCTTTGCGTTGGGGATTGGATATGACCATATTATTACTATTTATTTATTATTAGGTGAAAGAATGGATAATGGGTACAAGAGTTTGGGAAGAAAGAGCAGTGAAAGTCGACGTGCAGCAACGGGAAGCGCCTTCTTCTTCATTGGACGACGCGTCAGTGTTGAATCAGCGCTACATGGATAACACCAACGGAGAGGTTGGAAGGGATACTCTTCGCTGATATCATTCACAGCACAGAGACCAAATGGATGGCAATGGTTCCATAAACAATGAACTACACGGAAAGGTACAAACTCCCCACGCCCTTCCTCTTGGATCAACTGTTTGAGCATTTTGAAGTGTCAATTGCTGGCTTCAGGTTGCATCAGCAGTGTGCTTATGGCTTCTCCAACTCCACCGAAGGTATGGAGAAGACATGGGTTATCACGTTTTTCTTTGGATTTCCTTGAATAATTGAAAGGGTTTGTTCGTCCAGGTCAATTACAGCAGTACACAGTGTGTAAAGCGTAGGGCCTGAAAACGTTTAAGGAAATGTTCAAATGTGGGTTTGAAAGGACTGGGAAATCTAAACCATCTCTATATTACTCACTTACCTCTCATGTAGATTGGATACTCCTTGTTGTCCACATCTCCAAGAACTGACATGAATTCATTTTTTGATCCTTTTGGCAGCTCATCAGCTCGTTTCTGCCTGCTTCTAGAGTTTGCGTCTTCTACCTGCGTTTCAGTTTTTTGATTTTGGGTCGATACTATCGCGGTCAGTTTTTCGATTTGATTTTAAAACGCGTCTTTTAGGGAGATGTTTTCACACCCTTATAAGGAGTATTTTGTTTCCCTCTCCAATCGACGTGGGATCTCACAATCCACCCCTTTAGGAGTCCAACGTGGTACATCGTTTGATGTTTGGGTCTGATACCATTTGTAACGGTCAAAGTCTATCGCTAGCAGATATTGTCTGCTTTGACCCATTACGTATCGCCTCACCGTTTTAAAACTCGACTTCTAGGGGAGGTTTAAATGGTTTTTCCTGATACTCTTACCTGGTTAACCTGAAGATGGGTATACATATTTGCATGAAAAAATGGTGTAGCCCCAACCTCGTTGACTGAATATCTAAACCTTGATGCTGTTTCTACATTCACAATTCTCCTTGTCTGTACATGAATCAGATTATAACTGTGCCCAACCGATACTTCTGCTGAGCGAACTCTCTGTAAAGAGAATCAAACCCAAAGTGTCATCAGATAAGCTACAACATTTATAATACAAGACATCATTGCAGGGCATTACAGATATTGCGTTCTCAAGGCTTGTAGATTCAAGGAGGTCCCGGGAGATAAAGTTTCGTCCAATGCCCCCAGCTGCAACCTCTTCATTGGTTGGAGGCACTGAATTCAAGGTAAATGCCTAAAATATTTCAAAATATGCTATGCTTTAGCGTTCAATTCATTCATAATTCATTCATAAATGATGATGGTTTGAAGAGTTTACCAGTCCATGGTTATTAAAACCAAAAGCGCAGCTCGGAAGCTCTCCTGCGTAGGTATAAGCAACAAAGGACAGCCCATTTTGCAGTTTTCCTTTTACCAAATAGCTACGAAAGTGGAGAAACAAATGAACTTGTCCGGTGGGCTGGTTTATAATTGTGGGATAAAGTCCAGGTTTGTGAACAACTTACGTGTGGCCAACCAGAGCAACGTTGGCATCTTCATTATGTGCTGCAATGGCCATGTTTTCACTAACAACAAGAAGATCAGAGCAATCATCTGAACAATCAACTGCTAAAGCTACTTCCTTGTGAAGAAATGGAAGTATCTCCTTCCTGAAGTTGATTAGAATAATCTGCATATTGATTTTCAACGAAGATATCACAGACAGAACAGAAAACCAGGTCTCATTTATGTCTCTCTCCCTCTACAATTTTGTATTATTACCTCAAGAACAGGCACACTGCTTCCTTCTGCAATTCCGACAAGCTCATCCCAATATGTTGGAAACCTTGTCTTGTTATTGTTGCAGAGAGCTTGAATAAGAGGCTGGGACTGAGGGGCTTGAGCGAAAGGAAGGAGCTGGTCACGAAGAACAAGGTCTTTGTCCAATCTGCTCTTTATGGTATCAGAGAACCTCTTCCCAATCAAGAACCCCATCTGATATGCAGATTCGCATGGACCAACTTCAAACATCTCCACCTTCTTGCCCGCCATACCCCAACTTTTCTGCTCTTTCTTTTTATGGAGTTTTGGTGCAATTAAGGTATGACTTATCTTCTTCCCTACCTATGTTCTAGCCTTACGCTTTTCTAGAATTTGTTAAAAGTTACTATTCAGTCATGTGTGTTCATATCAGACAATAATAGCCACTGCATATAGGACATTCTCACTCCAGTCCTGACAAGATCATTAAATGTAGTGCAAGTAGTAGTTTGGACGCTGTTTGTGCCTTAAATGCTGGGTCCAACAGGTTAGTAGACCAAACTCACCTCTAGTAAATATTATCCACTTCGGCTCGTTACATATTGTTGTCAGCCTTACAGTTTTAAAACGCGTCTGCTAGAGAGAGGTTTCCAAACTTTTATGAAGAATGTTTCGCTCCCCTCTCTAACCAATGTGGTATATCACAATCCACCCTCTTGGGGCCAGCGTCCTTGTTGGCACACCGCTCGATGTCTGGCTCTAATATCATTTGTAACAGTCTAAACTTACTGCTAGCAGATATTGTCCACTTTAGCCCATTATGTATCATCGTCAACCTTACGGTTTTAAAACATGTCTGCTAGAGAGAGGTTTCCACACTCTTATAAAGAATGCTTTGTTCCCCTCTTCAACCCACGTGGGATCTCATAAACACACCAAAAGATACTTTAGGAAATCTGGCCACCCAAAGATACTTTAGGGAATCCGGCCACAAGCGGGTGGGCATCCAATCATCGACTTTTGATATTATAATTAGTGCTTTATCCGCCTAGAGATGGATTTAGTGATACTAGAATATTTAGAGGCCCTCTCTGTGGTGGAAAAATTTCCACCAGCTTCATATTCTTGAATTTTAGACAATTATCATTAAAAAAATCGTTTTAGATTGTATGGTGAACTTTTGATATGTTTTATTTAGGAAAAAGAATCCATTTTTAATCTTAAACTTGTGCGAAGTTTTGCATTGATGATCAAAGCAAGCAAGTAGAGATGTTCATAATTTTTAAGAGTAGAAAACACTCCAATTTTATTCAAATTTGACATGCCCTTATATGAAGGTAACTTAGGCTTTAGATAGTCAATCTTATGCCTCAACTAATAAGTAATGACCCTTGTAGTGGTGATGCCAAGTTATGGCTTTAAGACTAAAATACTCTTAGTTAGACATGCTTAGAAACCTAAAAGTAGAAAAATGATATCAAAATGTGGATTGTGGATTACTAGTTGATATCAATATGTTGGGGGGCGTTTTGTGAAGCAGCACAACAGCTCAGACTTAACTTTGTTCCTTCAACTCTTGCAATGAGAAGACATGGGTTATCTCTTTGTTCTTCGGATTTCCTCGAAAAATTGATAGAGTTTGCTCGTCCAGGTCGATTAGAACGCTACACATTGTGTAAAGCTTAGGACCTGAAGACATTATAAGAAAATTTTCAGTGTCAGTTTGAATTTGAAAGGAGTTTAGGCAGCCAATCTAAATGATCTCCATAATTTACCCTTCATATAGATAGGAAAATTCTTGTTCTCTGCATCTCCAAGAACACACAGAAAATCGTCTTTTGATTCTTTCGGCATGACATCGGCTCGTCTTTTCCTGCTTGTCGAGTTTTTGTCTATTATCTGTGTTCCAAAGCAGTTTATTTTCACTTCAAAACCATATCATATATGATCACTTGTAGATTTTCCTAGTATTGTTACCTGCTTGATATTCTGAAGATGGGAATACATATTTGCATGGAAAAATGGTGTAGCTCCAACCTCATGGACTGAAACTCTGAACTTTGATGCTATTTCTACACTTGCTATTCTTCTTGTCTGAACATCAATCACATTATAATTGTGGCCCAGGGATATCTCTGCTGACCGAATTCTCTGGATAAAACACAATCCAACCCCATGTGTTATGTTTTGAACATGCTAAGGTTATTAAGCTGGAACATTATCTATAATGTCTCAATGATGGGTCTTACAGCTATTGCATCTTCAAAGCTGGTAGATTCAAGGAGGTCCCGAGAGAGAAAGTTTCGTCCGATTGCCCTAGGATCAATCTCATCATTCATTGGACGTACTGCGTTCATGGTAAATGCCTAAAAGATTGGAAAAGATTATGTCGGGAGCTTATAATTCAAGGACACAGTTGTAAAACTGTAATAGCCCAAGCTCACTGCTAGCAAATATTGTTCTCTTGGGGCTTTTTCTTTCAGGCTTCCCCTTAAGGTTTTTAGGACGCATCTGTTAGGGAGAGGTTTCCACACCCTTATAAAGAATGTTTCGTTCTCCCCCCCAACCGATGTGGGATCTCACAACAACTTATAGAATAGATCATGTTCACGTAAGCTTGAATTCTTGTCACGCAACTTACAGGGGCAATTGTTTATTTCGTAAGATCTACGCATGCTCTTTAAATTCCTTCCGAATCAATGAATGATGACGGGATTGATGAAGACCCCATATCGGAAAGATGAAAAGAGCTCAGAATTTTTTATAATTGGTTTTGAAATGGAACATCTAATAGTAGGAGGGTATGAAAAGTTTACCAGGCCATTGCTATTAAAGCTGAAAGCACGGCTTGGAAGCTCTCCTGCGTGTGAATAAGCAATGAAACATATCCCATTTTGCAGTCTTGCTTTGATCAAATAGCTTCAAAAGTGAAGAAAAGAAGAATGAAGTTGGTTAAACAGAAGCGAACAGTGCTTGGATGAATTGAAGTGTTGTTTTGTGAACTTCTTACGTGTAGCCAGAGAGACCAAAGAGGGCATCTTCATTATGAGCTGCAAGGGCCAAGGAATCACTAACAACAAGAACATCAGAACACTCATCTGTGCAATCAACAATGGAAGCTTCATCCTGAATACATGACAGAATCTCCCTCCTGAAGTTGAGTACAATGATCTGCACATTGATAGCACACCCTTATAAGGAATGATAATGGGATGGAAGATGTTTGCATGATATAAGAGGTTACCTCAAGGAGAGGCGCTTGACTTCCATCTACAATGCCCATGAGTTCATCCCAATGTGATGGGTACTTGGCCTTGTTATTGTTGCAGATGGCTTCTATAAGAGGCTTCGTCTGTGGAGCTTGAGCAAAGGGAAGGAGGTGGTGACGAAGAACCATGTCTTGCTCCAACCTTCTCCTTATGGTATCAGAGAACCTGTTCCCAATCAAGAACCCCATCTGGTATGCACACTCGCATGGACCAACTTCAAACACTTCCAACTCTTTGGTTTCCTTATCTTCTTCTTGTTCTTGTTTTTGCTGTTCTTCTATCTCGCATGGACTGTCCACAGCATTCTCCTGCTCCTTCCCACCTTCCATACCTCTATTTGGTGATTTCCTGAATTTAGTTGGGTAAGTATTTACATAACATCTATGTATGTATCCCTTTTTGTTTACTTTTGGTTATGCTAGAATTTGTTCTTTTGAAGATTTTTGAAGATTCTTTGCCTGCATGTCTATTTTCCAATTCTTTTTACTTGCTTTTCATGCTTTTTATGTTTCATGTTTGTTAGTTTTTTTATTATTTTATTATTAGTTTCGTCCGAATCATGTCGACATCTGCTAAAAGCAATTTGCCTAAAAATGTATTATAGAAGAATGCAACTAGTTGTCAATTCTTCCTACTCAGGTTATATGCTATGAATGTCGTTGCTTATTGCTTACCGAACTTTCTCTTACCATATTTTCTAAAACTGTTTTCCAAAAGTAGGGTTGGCTTGGCTTTGGCTTCTAATTTTGTGAGGCTTCCTTCTGTATTTGTTGGATGGGAAAAAAAACTCTTAGTGATACGTTCTCTTTTATCCTTCTCTGCAAGCGCCCAGGAGATTAAAATGAATTTTTTCATAATTATCCCTATTGTTTTAGCTTTTCATTTTTCCCCTTTAAACTAAATTCAATTACATGTTCGTTACTTAATATATTTAGTAAGCACTTTTTAAAAGACTTTTAAAAAAAAAATTATTCCAACACATAGGAATACGAACTTATGCTCATATTAATCAAGATTGATTTTTTTTTTTTTTTTTTTTT